TGTCCTGACTCTTCATGATCCATATCCATATGGAAGCTTAGCCAGGAGCCAGTGGCTCCTGCCATCTTAGCTACTCAGGAAGCTGAGATCTAAGGCTCATAGCTCGAAGCCAACCAGGACAGCCAGAGTCCCTGAAACTCATACCCCCAATTAACCAGCAAAAAGCTGGGAGAGAAGGTGTGTTCCCAAGTAATAGAATAGCCAGCCTTGAGCAGAAAAGCTAAGGGCCAGTGCTCAGGCTCTAAACTGAAGCCCCTGTACTAGCGTGTATGAGGGCACATGCATGCACACATGCACACAATACAGAGGCACAGTGAAAGCATATTTATTCTGCATTTGCTCTAAAAAGGGGTGTGAACTATTAGCCTATTCTTAAGAATTCGATCCAATGAGTCACTCGAACCAGAAACCCATGATAGACTCCATCTTCCCACCCCCACGTCAGGGCCCTCTTCCCAGCTCACTGGACATTTGCCTTTGTCCCTCAGCCTCCTAGAACTTCCTCTCTTCTCTGAGGTCAGCGAGTATTTAAAGCTCTCGTCCTCATCCTGTCCCCATCAGTAAGATCTGGCTTAAAGGAAGGGGAATCCCGCTGATGACTTTTCTTCTGGGAAATCAGCAGCTGCATTTTCCAGGACCAAATCCTTAGCCTAACATTTCTGGTAAAATTCACCAATCAAAGGATTTTACCGAAACAAAGCCAGATCAGGCTTAGGAGAATCTGTTCATATCAACACTTGACATTCTTTTCTTTCTCTTCCATAAAAGGAAAAAGGTTGTTAAATAAAGTCTTAACTTGAATTCTCATCCAATTTTTAAGAGTTGCAAATTCTCAAAAGTAGATAAAGTTGGAAAATTCAGTTTCAGACCTCAAAAAATTTAACCAATGAACCTGAACAACTCAACAGTGTCCCCTGGTGGTCATGAGCACAGTTGTGAGCTTGAGCTACTAAGGTATATTTAGCCTCTAAAATTAGCTAGAAAGAAGTATCTCATCACCACGAAACCTCCAACTCCTAACTCAAATAATATGAAATGTTCATTGAAATCAGAAATGTTCACCAAGAGCAACGATTAAGAGGATCATGGTCAAGTTCTGTGATTACAGGTATGTACCACCATGCTCAGCTCACACTCATTTTTATTTATTTATTTATTTTGGGTCCGGTCGTGGGTCTGAACTCCGGGCCTGGGCGCTGTCCCTCAGCTCTTCAGCTCAAGGCTAGCGCTCTACCACTTGAGTCACAGCGCCACTGAGGAATCGAACCCAGGGCCTCATGCATGCAAGGCAAGCGCTCTACCACTGAGCCACCTTCCCAGCCCCTCACACTCATTTGTAAAAGAACACTCTGGCTGCTGACTTATCCTTTCAAAGTTATAGTGAAGACTGACACTGAGGTCTGAAGGAGTTGGGTGATAAGCAAGAGTAGAAAATAGCTATGGAAAGCCAGGCATGGTGACACACATCTGTAATCCCCTTACTCTGGAGGCTGAGCAAGACCTTGTTGAAGGAGGAGGAAGAGGAAGAGAAGAAGGAGGATGGGGAGGATGAAAGACAAAGGAGGAAGGGGAGGAGGAGGAGAAGGAGGAAGAAGAGGAAGAGGAGGAGGAGGAGGAGAATCAGCAGCACCTACTACAGAAGTCCAATCAAGCAGTTGCTACTGTTTGGATCAAGCAAGTGGTTGAAGTTAGAATACATTTTGGTCAGCAAGCCAACAGAAATTATTAGTGGATTACATCCTGGCCATAAGGGAAATACAAATCAAAACACCAGTTGAATGGCCACCATCAAGAACAGCAGCAAATGTTGGAGGCAATGTAAACTAGTGCAGCACTATGGAAAGCAGTGTGGAAATTGCTCAAAAGGCTAAAAACAGAGCCAGGCACCAGTGGGCCAAACCTATTATCCTAGCTACTCAGGAGGCTGAGATTTGAAAATCTCAGTTTGAAGCCAGTTTAGACAGATATATTTATAAGACTCTTATTTCCAATTATCCAGTTCAAGTGAATATGGCTCAAATGGTAGAGTATCAGCCTTGTATAAAAAAGCCAAGAGAAAGTGCGAGACTCTAAATTCATAACCCAGTACCAACACACACAAAAAAATACCTAAGCTAAAAATAGAATGATGATCCAGTGATAACATTCCTAGGCCTTTATTCAAAAGATTACAAATCAAGACAAAATAAGGCTACTTGCACACCCATGTTCATTGTAGCACTATTCATAAAAGCTGTTATAGAAATAGCCCAGATGACCAACAACGTACAAATGCATAGTATAATATCACAAATGTGATGTTATATATCACATTGTATATATATATATACATAATATATCCAATATACATAATAGAACTATATTCATTTATCAGAAAGAATAATATTATGTCATTTGTAGAAAAATGGAAAAAAATCAACCCATGTGGAGTGAAGTGAAGTCAAGAAAAGGGCATATCAGTGGAAGCTAGACCTAAAATAAACATATATGAAAACACATACTAGTCCATATGCATATGGACATGATCACACTGACTGCAGGATGGCATACACGGAAGTGAATTTCCATAGTGTGACCCCTCTGAACAATTAACAGTCATTTTAACAAAATGATGATGGGGAATAGGAAGTGAGTGGATGAATGGAGAGGAAGGGTGGGTGAATACACTCCTAACAGTGTACAGAGGGGGAAATGGCACTGGGGAATGAGGAGAAGGGGGGGATGACATTGGAGGGGGTGGGGAGAGTCATCCAGATGCACTGTACACACAAATGGGCGTGTTAAATTGAAACCCCTTTGTATGGCTATTTGAAGATAATTAAAAAGTAAAATAAGTTAAGGCATGGGATGGAAGCAGGCCTCAGTCTCTTGGCCTGAGCAGTGAATTGGGTGAATACCAATAACAGTTACAGATGCCTACGTAGAAAACAGATGTGGGGGAAAGGGAGAGTGAGAAATTAAAAATTATCTTTGATTTGCTTATTATGATCAGCAGGGTATGTTTAGAAGATGGATGGACATGTGAGTTGAGTCCAGAGAAGAGATTGGAAGTAGACATACACATTTGGAGATCCTCAGCATATAGGGAATACTTAAAGCTCTGAGATTGGAGGAAATACTTAAAGCTCTGAGATTGGCAGAGGTCGCCTAGGCCAAAAGTCTAGATAGTGAAAAGGAGGGAGAGACAAGGCTGAAGAGAGATCGATAAAAATAGAGAAACTTCAAAGAAGGCTAAAGGCCAGGCTCTGGTGGCTCACGCATGTAATTTTTTTTTTCGGGAGGGGGGCCTGAACTCTGGGCCTGGGCACTGTCCCTCAGCTCTTCAGCTCAAGGCAGCACTCTACCACTTGAGTCACAGCGCCACTTCCAGCTTTTTTCTTTTTGCTTCTGTGGTGCTGAGGAATCAAACCCAGGGCCTCAGGCATGCAAGGCAAGCGTTCTACCACTGAGCCACCTTCCCAGCCCCTCACGCATGTAATCTTAGCTACTCAGGAGGACTCAGTCTGAGGAATGTGACTTGAAGCTAGCCAAAAACAACAAAAAAGTCTGAGACTATTATCTATAAACAAGCAGCAAAAAGCCAGAAGTAGAGCCATGGGTGATGTGGTAAAGTGCCATTTATAAGAGGAAAAAAGCCAGGAGAGAGTGAAAGGCCCTGAGTGTGCATATGTGCATACACACACACACACACACACACACACACACAGAAAAGGTGCTGCCAGAAGGAGCCAACACAAAGGTAAAGGTATCTGGAGAAGGAAGAGTGTGAATGCTGTAGAGAAAATCATAGATAAGAACAGTTTCCCATTACATTTGACAAGATGGAGGTTGAATGGAACCATTAAGCAATAACATACTTCCTCCTAAATGGAAGAGTTAAATAGGAGGTGAATGAGAGCCCACAGTGTAGATATTTCTTTCAAGGAGTTTTCATGTAAAAAGAGGCAACACAGCCAGAGGGGAACACAAGCTCTAGTCATTAACAAGGAAGATTCCGCAGCATGTTTGGCGGGAAATGCTGGGAATAATTCTGTATGGGGAGTAACTGCTCACTAGGCAAGAACAGGATACAGTACAAAGATGAGGGAATGACAGCTTTAGAAGTAGCAGGACAACCCAGTACTTGGTGGCTCACCCCTGAAATCCTAGCTACTCAGGAGGCTGAGGTCTGAGGACTGTGGTTCAAAGCCAGCCTGGGCAGCAATGTCCTTGACACTTTTATTTCTAATTAAAACATACAAAAAAAGCCAGAAGTGGAGCTGTGGCTCAAGAGGTTGAGTGTTAGCCTTGAGCAGAAAAACTCAGGCACAGTGCCTAGGTCCTGAGTTCAAGCCCCGGGATCAGCACAAAGGAGAGGAAGGAGGAAGAGGAGGAGGAGGAGGAGGAGGAGGAGAAGGAGGAGGAGGAGGAGGAGGAGGCGGTGGCGTAAAGGAGAAGATGCACATAGACTTAGGAGATGTCAGTAGTAAATCTTCACTTGAATTTCTCAGTGAAACAAGAATATAATACTCTTAGTACTGGTGGGGGTTGGAGGAGCAGAGTTCATAGATTTGAAAAGAACAGAGAAGACTGGGTGGAGAGTGGATTTGTTAGAGGTCTATACTGAGATTGACCAGCATTTCCTCCCAAGATTAACATATGTATTTGTACCAGAAGGCCAATTGAATAGAGCACCAAGAAAGAGAACTGGATTTTTTTAAATCTGATATTTTTCTTAAAGTATGAAATATCTCAACTGTTTCAAGCACCTAGAAAAAAATTAATGCACATGTATATGCTACCCAGATTTAATTACCATGTTGTCTCCAGCATCAGTTTAAGAAATAAAACATTCCAGACACAGTTGCAAGCCCCTGAGTGCCTCCCTCTGATTTGTGTCCTCCCTCCTGTCTCCCTCAAGTTCATTGAACAATGGCTGAAAGCAACAATGTTGCTCTTTCTCCCCACCAATCAACAGCTCCGTGTGACTCCTCAGCCAAACGCTGTCATTCAGGATTTACCTGCTATCTGGGTTGTCAGGGAGATGACTACAGGGAGTTCTGAAGACAAAGCCTGGAGGCTGATACTGTAGTTGGTACCGGGATGCAGGTCCAAGCATACCGCAGGGGTCGAGCTGCTGGTGGTGGTATTAAAGATCACTTCCTGGGCAAATTCCTCCTGGTACCATCTCTGGCCCCAGATGTGTAACTGAAACATAAAAACACAAAGTGAATCACGGACTTGAAACATTCTCCAGGTTTCCTAGGCCTCTTTCTCATGTAAAGTTTCTTCAAAAAGTAAACTGCAGTGGTGACCAAATAATAAAGTTGTGATGCCATACATAGTGTGATTATGCTATGGGGATAATAAATATATTTTTTAATGGAAGTGCACCAAAGACACTTAGCTCCTCCTTATTTTTGTAGACTCCCTGTGGAAGCCTGTTGAGAATACTTGGGGAGCAAGGAAAAAGAACATTTTCCTACAAAAAAAAAAAAACTTTAAAAACCTGAACTCAGCTGGACCTGAACTAGGACATTCCCAGTGGAGCTGGTGGAAGTTGGGAAGGCTGGCACTGGTGGCTCATGTCTATCAGCCTAGCTATCTGGGCGGCTGATATCAGGAAGACCAAAGTTACAAGCAAATCCCAGAGAAAAGAAGTTAAAGAGACTCCGTTTCCACAGAAGAAGCTGAGCAGGGTGGCAGCATCTGTCATTCCAGCTACAATGGCAAGCCCAAATAGGTGAATGGGGTCTAGGCACACACCTAACTGGCTAGAGGCATGGATCAGTGGTAACATATCTGCCTAGCCAGCGTAACTCCCTGAGTTCAAACCCTGCCCAGCACAAATTGCTGTTTTCTTACTTCTGATTCTGTCACCATAAATCTTCCAGTGCTAATGGCAGCCACCCCATAATTTTTAGGCTCACAGGTATTCTTTAAACCCCAACACAAGACAAGCAGCTACAAATAAAGTAATTTTCAGTAACTTACTAAGTACATTTCTTCTATATCGGCCGTCTTCATGCTTTTCCATCTCAAGCAAGTCTCATTAAATATTGAAACATTACTGATGATCTGTTTTACTGCAAGGGAAAAGAATGAGAAATCGGCTTACATGCTATACACAAAACATTAACTTTTCATTAAACCATTTGCCAAGGATAAGCATTAGCACTGGATGAGCTTAATACTGGATGCCAGTACTAGGGTTTGAACTCAGGGCCTCATGCTCTGGCTTGGCTATTTTGTTCAAGGCCAGCACTCTATCACAGCTCTACTTCCCAGATTTTTGGTGGTTAATTGGAAATAAGAGTCTCTTGGACATTCTTGACTGTGTTTGCCTGGCTTATCTTGATTTTCAGATTTCAGCCTCCTGAGAATCTAAGATTACAGAAGTGAGCCACCAGCACACAGTCTGAGTTCAGCAACTTTTTATTGGGGGGGGGGGGGAGGCAGTCCTAGGGCTTGAACTCAGCCTGGGTGCTGTCTCTGAGCCTCTTTGGGCTTAAGGCTAGCACTCTACCACTTGAGCCATAGCACCACTTCCAGCTTTTTCTGAGTGCTTTATTAGAGAGAAGGGTCTCTCAGACTTTCTTGCTCAGACTGGCTCAAACAATGATCCTCAGATCTCAGCCTCCTGAATAGCTAGTATTACAGGTGTGAGCCACCAGCACCTGGCTCAGTGATTTTTTTTTTTTGCTGTTTTTGTTTTGTTTTGTTTGTTTTGTTTTGTCAAGGCGGTGTACAGAGGGATTATAAGCACAGGGGTAATAAGTACATTTCTTGTTGAACTTGTTACCCCCTTTTCAACAATATTTTTATTTAGAAATTCATAGCAGCAATGTCCAAGAAACACCACTTTCATATTAGGGAAATCAGTCCTGATGAAAGATTGAAGAGCCAGAGACTTCAGTCAGAAGATTCCTTTTAGAAATGAAGTCCACTCATTGACTTTACAATTATAATGTGTTGTCTGGGGCTTTGGACAGCCTGACTGATACAAGAAAATACCAGTTGGAAATTCTGATCTAAGAGGTATCTCTCAGTGCAGAATTGCTCCTTGAAGAACTAAAACTATCTTAAGCAGGCAAAAATTTTTTTTAATTTAATTTTATTTGTGAAAGCAGGCAAAATTTTCATATGATGGTTCTCTCTTGGCTGGGGTCTCCATATTGCTTATGATCAAAGAAGCATGTCTTGGCCTCTGCCCAGTTTCAGGGTAACTGATCTAAAGGTGATTCCAAATCTAAAGGGTAATACATTTTATTGAACAGGCATGCCCTTAAACCTTCCTGAAACACAGACTACATATTCAAAACTCTGCTATTAGGGAAGAATGACCCCCTGTCCCTAAACTGGAAATAATGGTAGACTTGCTTGGAAGTTCTGTAGGAGCACTGGGATGATGGATGATTCATAAGACAACTCCCAAAGCACCTGAAGGGAAGACGAGCCCAGGGGAAGAAACACAGTGTTAGCAAACACTCCTGGACTGACAGGTTTTTATGAATGAGGCTAAGTTGGTGGATGTGACCACTCCATATGGACTGAGCATCTTTACACAGAGGAAAAACTTGCTCCACAGATCATAGCTACACTCCAAACACTGCAAATGGAGCAGGTGGGGGAGTATAGGTGGCTAACAAACAGCTAGGTATAGAATGCTGGGTACAGAGCACGGGCATGGAGATTAGAAGCAGCGATCCAGGGGATGCCTATGTTTCTGAATCATGCATAATATAATACCCAATACTATTAATAATTTAATACCATGGGAAATGCTTATTGTTTATATATTCTATATTAGTATTATTATAATGATACAGTAGTAAAGAGTTCCAGATCACACAAAAAGGAGAAAGTTTCTCAACTCATTAAAGGTGACTACATCATCCACAATGCCCAAGCCATACGAGGATGGCATTGAACAGTCACTGAACATACTGTGCCAGGCTCCCTGGTCCTACATACCAAAACCCAAACCGCAATATCACCCGACACAAGTCAGCACTACATTCAGCCAACAATACACCGGGACTAAGGAAGACTTATTCTTGGATTATTATTGGAAGATCTAGGAATAGGTTAACAGAGAGAAATTCTATGGTTTCTTTTATAGTCACAATGCTTAAGATATTTAACATACATGCCTGACTTAAAATCCTACTCAACTAGATCTGTATAGAGACTCTTTAATTTAATAGTGCTTATTAGAAGCCATCCTAGTCACCCTTGAGACAAGGAAGCAAGTTGTTATATAATAAGGAATCCGAGGCTGCCTCATGCTGCAGCCACTAATCGGCTCTGGGGAGGGTATGCCAGACCATGTGGAAAAGGAGGTGAGAAAATGGTCGAGCTACAAAGGCCAAAAACAGGAACAAATTTTTTGACTGCCAGTAAATCTTAGTCAACTGGAAACCAAAAAGGAAATTGCTTGAAAGCAAATGCAAATAGCAAGAGCTGGGCAAAATGCATAGTATATGAATATAAAAATAATCTATGTTCATCATATCTACAAGAAAAAAGGATGATATTCTGAATAATGACACCCCAAAGATGTCCACCTCCTAGTCCCTGGCACCTGTGAATATGTTACTGTGCAAAGCAGAAGAACTTGATAAAGGTGATGATGACTGAGAGATTAGTGGAATTACAAGGATCCTTACAGAGGAAGAGAGATGAGAAAATCAGGGCTACAGAAAGATCACATAAGGCCAAGCCTGGTGGTTCACATGTGTAATCCTAGCATTGGGGAGGCAGAAACAGAAGGGTCAAGAGTTCCAGAACAGACCCAGCCATCAAAAAAGGAAGGAACAGGGGTAGGAAGGTGGCTCAGTGGTAGAGTGCTTGCCTTGCATGCCAGAGGCCCTGGGTTCAATTCCTCACCACATAAGCAGAAAAAAAGCCAGAAGTGGCACTGTGGCTCAAGTGGTAGAGTGCTAGTCTTGAGCTGAAGAGCTGAGGGACAGCACCCAGACCCAGAGTTCAGGCCCCACAACTGGCAAAAAAAAAAAAGAAAGAAAGAAAGAAAAAAAGGAAGGAACAAGTCAGGCCTTGATGGCTGTGCCTATTCAATTAGCTACTCAGAAGCTGAAATGTAAAGAGTGCAGTTTGAAGCCAGCTTCGGCAGGAAAGTCTATGTGATTCTTAGCTCTGATTAACCAGCAAAAAGCCAGAAGTAGAGGGTGGCTCAAGTGATAAAGTGTTAGCCTTGAGCAAAAAAAGCCAAGTGAGAGCCCAAGTCCCTGTGTTTGAGCCTTAAACTGGTGCCGGCACATGCACGCATGCGCACGCGTGCATTCTCTCTCTCTCTCTCTCTCTCACACACACACACACACACACACACAGAGGAAGAAAAGAGGAAGGGAGGGAAGGAGAGAAAAAGGGAGAAAGGGAGGGAGTGAAGGAGGAAGGGAGGGGAGGAGAAGAGAAGCAGAGGTTGAATTGATTACTTTTTTTTTTGTCAGTCATGGGGCTTGAACTCTGGGCCTGGGTGCTGTCCTAGCTCTTCAGCTCAAGGAAAGTGCTCTACTACTTGAGCCACAGCGCCACTCCCAGTTTTCTGAGTAGTTTGCTGGAGATAAGAGTCTCACGGACTTTCCTGCCCGGGCTGGCTTTGAATCTCCATCCTTAGATCTCAGCCTTCTGTGTAGCTAGCCACCGGCACCCGGCCTGAACTGATTACTTTTAAAGATGGAAGGTAGGGCCACAAGCTAAGAAATGCAGGCAGGCTTCAGAAACCGGAAATCACAGGAAATGGTGTCTTCTTGATGTTTAAAACTCCAGCCCTGCCAACAACTTAGCTGTTTTCATGTGACAGTGATTTTATTTGATTTTGTTTGTTTTTTGTTTTTGTTTTTGGGGGGTCTGGTCGTTGGGCCTGGGCGCTGTCCCTCAGCTCTTCAGCTCAAGGCTAGCGCTCTACCACTTGAGCCACAGCGCCATTTCCGGCTTTTTTCTTTTTTCTTATGTGGTGCTAAGGAATCAAACCCAGGGCCTCATGCATGCAAGGCAAGTGCTCTACCACTGAGCCACCTTCCCAGCCCTTGATTTGATTGTGAAAGTGATTTTAAACTTCTGATTTCTGGAAGTATATAATAGTCAGTTGTATTATTTTCAGCCACTAAAACTCTTTGTCAAACCAGCAAGTCAAACTAATGCAAGTAACAAAATACAACAGAGAAATTAAAAGATCCTCCTTCAATAAGAGAGGAGACCAGAAATAAACTTCAAATAATCAGAAATATCAAAAACATTCATGTAAGTTTTTTCTCTTTTGGGGGGGCAGGGGGAGTCGGGGGGGGGCACACATGACAGGTTTGACCTCAGGGCTTTCTATTTTCTAGATAGCACTGTACCACTTTAGTCACATCCCAGCCCTTTTTGTTTGTTTTAGTTATTTTTCAGATTGTCTCCCACCTTTTGCAAGACTGTATATAATCAACCCTCTCTTCTGTAATCCTGGGATTATAAAAGTACATCACCCCACCTAGTTTATTTATTGAGACAGGAGGATCTTACTAGTGTGTGTGTGTGTGTGTGTGTGTGTGTGTGTGTGTGTATGTGTGTGAGCTGGCCTACAACTGTGATCTACTTAATTTTTACCTCTTAAGCCACTGTCCCCAAGTTTTTAAAGAACATAAAAGAAAAACAATAGAGAGAGAGAAAGGCCATGTAGTGGAAGAGAAAGCTTCAAAAGTAAGTGTCAATTCTCTACCAGTTAATGTACAAGTATAATACACTTTCAATGGGAATTCCCGTGGCTCTTCATAGAACTTGACAAATTCACTCATCCATTCAGTGGATGTTTTTTTAAGTTCTTACTTTGGGCCAGGTGTGCTCTGGGGGCTAAATGATAAGGTGGCAAGAGAGAATGCCAGCTGCCATGCTGACGCTCACACTGGGAGAGGATGGACGGGGAGAAGGGATGGCTGGGAGGAGGCAAGTGAGTAGAGATTGGCAGGAAGGGGTGAGTCACGGGCTAGAGGAAGAGGAGTCAGCTGCAGAGAACCACGGGGCAGAAGCCAGGTTGGCACACAGATAGACAGATGTCGGTGATCATTGCTAAGCTCCTTTGGGAAGA